CCCTATTATATAGACAATTTGTTTTATATTTATTTACTATTAATTGATAAATCTACTTTACATTATTTATTATTAATTTTTAGTAAAATAAAAATAATCATCTGATTGAATATTAATTTTATAGTTATTGATAGAAGTTGGGTGAGAATGAATATTTACATAAATAAATAGATGTAAAAGGTTTCAATAAGTTAAGTAAAATGAAATTTACATGAATATATGACACTTGGACAAAAAAAAAAAAAAATAAGTAAATAAATTTGAAACAGTTTGTATTTATATATATGTTGAATACACTCAATAACGATTTGACGTTAATACACTCTTGTTATTGGCATTGCTAGTAATGAAATTACTTTTTGTCAAGGGACCATTCTCCTGCTCCCAAAATTATCTGCATTCAACGGAATAATCAAATGTTTTTATCTCTCGTCAGGGAGATAAATTGATATGTTAAAATTACTTTATGTAAATTAATCATCAAAATAACAATTTGACAGGAATTGACATAAAAAATAGAAATTATTTCATCATTCTTTGTAGAATATTGTCATTTATCTTTTGAGTGTTTGAATTGTTTGGCATTTTGCCGACAGGGTTGAAGATGGAGGGTTGAACAGTAGATTCTACCACTTCTCTAGCCATGGCAGCACTTACCCTCTGCAATTCAGGGGTTTGTGTGCAAAAGCTCGGTAAAATATCGATAGAATTTGTAGTAATGGTTGATGTTATCCCTTATGAAGTATGCTTTTTTATCGGTAATGTCTAATCGGTAAACAAATGGCATAATAAAATAAAATTTAAACAATAAAATTAATTCAGAAAAATTGTTATAATCTTCTAGAAATAAATTGAATAGATTTCAAAACTATCAAAACTGATTTTTGATTGATAAAATCTTTTTAGGTTGATATTTTAATTTTTTTTCTTGTTAAATAAAGTTATTAACTCAATTACTAATTAAATTTATATTTATTTCTATCAATTAAAATTGTTCTGAATACATAAAAAAATTCTTTTATGATTGATAATTATCTTTTCATGTCAACATAACATTATTAGAATTGTTATGAATAAATTTATTAAAAAATTAACGATAACCCTAAAAAAAAATTAATCTGAACTAATGAAATATATTTAATTAGTTTTATTATAATAAAAAATAATAACTTAATTTTGAATTTACATATAACTAATAAATATTTATATCTTAATTAATTAATAAAATAGAAAAATTGTTTTCCTAGTATCAGTTAGAAATACCCTAAATCCTAAATTATTTAAATAGTTCTTGTAGTAAAAAGTTTTTGATTTTATCATCACTGATTTATCCTGATAATCATTTAGAAAAAAAAAACATAACTTTATGACAATGTAATATTGACATGAATAATAATTTAATATTGTCACGAGTACACTGCAGTGATTATCATGAATAAAATAATTTGTTGTATTATTTTTATCACGAAACATAGCAGAATAATTGTTTTATTATTTAAAATGATTGTTTTACAAATATATATACATATATATAGCATGCGTTTAAACGCTTTCTGATTTACCACACCACGATATCGTTCCCGACAGCGCACTGTTATAATTACGGAGTAGCAATCAATTAGTATACCAATCATGCGTTGATTAAGAGGTCGATTGAAACGTAATGGGCCTGTAGGTGGTCAGTGATAATTAACGTTCGCGGAAACCGAATGCGTACTGCATAAAATCAAATGCAGACCACTCCGGTGCAGGAAGTGAGAAACGTTCTATGTTACGTTTCTCTCTCTCTCACCCTCTATCTCTTTCTCTCTTCGTATACACCAGCACACAACTATTTGATTCCCTATTTATTCCCCCCCCCTACCTTTTCTCTTTCATCTCACGCTATCAATATTTAAATACTTGGTTTTATTGTCAAAAATTATATATAGAATTTCGAGACATTTTGAGGCGATGAATTCATTGTCGGACAAATTAAATCCACTCGTAGCTTTGATATTTTTTTTCGCGTTATTATTTTTTAAAATAGCACAGTGATTTATTTTTTAATTCACTGGGAATTGATTGCGAAATTGGAAAAAAATTGCGAGAATAACAGAGAGATAAAGAGAAGTAAATGTGTCGGTTTTGTGACCCATGTGATGATGTACGTAATGACTATAGTGCATGAGTGCGTGTGATGGTCAACTTTTAACGGCTGTTTTATTTTTTATGATTCGCAAGCATGGCTTTGAAATGCAAATTATTCATTTGCTACGTAGAACTCTATGAAAAAAACGTGCAATTAGCGGCAAAAACAATCATGCCGTATTTGTCTGATACTCATTTTCACTAACATTCGTTTTTTTTCTGATTGACAACACACACACACACACACACTCTCTCTGATCATGCTGCTCATTTTTATTTATTATCCTTCTTTTTTTTTTCTATAATTCTCTAAGAACAATAGGCTTGACAATTAAAGTTGATGAAATTAATTCTGATGAGTTGGAAAATTTTTGTTCAACAATAAAAGATTTATGTCCATTATTACTTTTTTTAGAACACTTTATTAATCTATTTTTAAGGAAAGAGTAATAAAATGATAAAACATACTAGGTACTCATGAATATAAGGTAATAAAATGATTTATATTTTCCTGAAAAGTTTTATTAGGTCGAGACAATTTATTTTCAATTTTATTAGCATCTTTTTTTTTTGTTTTAATAAAATGACAAAATTGAAAAGACCAGGCGGTTATTTTAATGAGAATCCGGCTCGTTTGAGGCGCCATCTTCCGTCGCTCACCCTCGGGAATTCTCTAATGAACGTTGAACAAATATTATTTCTGCTTATATGTACTCGCCAACTTAGTGTATCTTTGGGCTTAATTAATAACACTAAATTGCCTTTGCGGCTGTTTCTCAGTAGAATTTAAGTGTTCATTTAATCTCACACTACCAAGTTAAAAGTTTGATAAAATATTGCTGTTTAATTTTATCATTTTCTTAAATCATCTTATATATATACTTACACATAAATGGTTGAACTTTGATATCCTTGAGCGATGTAAGAACCTTTATTTTATTGAATTTATTATTCAAAAGCTGGAAAAAATTAGACGATTTAGTTTGAAGGAAAATTTCTTGCAAATGTTATTTGTATGTTTCCTTGCTTTTTTGGTTTTTTTTTTTTTCTAAGCTCGGCAATAAAAGGTTAGACAAGGCAAGGATTCTGAAGTTATATAAATTACAAGAAGGACATCGGAACCGACAAATTTAACCGGTAAAGCCCCACCTGCTCCCTAAACAAATTTAATAAGCCTTCGCGATTTCCGCTCCAATTTCAACTTTTGAAATACACCGACCGTCGGACTTTATTCGATCAATAATTTCTCTTTTATTAAATGTTGACTATTTATTTTTCATTTTAACTATATTTTTCAATTATTGTATAAGCTTTAAAAAAAAAAAAATCCCACCTTTTTTCCTCCTCTTATCTAAAATTTAATAAATTTTTATTCATCAAAATACATCTTAACAAAAATGCAAATAAGTTTGAAATAATTTTTTTAATCAATAAAACTATTTAAAAAAAAAAATAACTCGAGTAAATTAATTGAATTGTCATTATAACAAGGGCATTTCATTAAATTTAAAATGTAAATTTATTCATTTTCTAATTTATCTCATTTGAAAAGTGTTTCATGATAAAAAGATAAGTTTGAAAGAAAATAATGAAATAATTGATTGTTGATAAATTTATTTTATTGAAAATAAGGGAAGAAAGAATTTTTATGAAAATTCATAAGAAATATCAGTTAACAAAAAAAGAAGGAAGGAGAAATATGAAAAATGATTTTCCTAGACAAATTTGAATTGAAGTTGCTTTTCCAACATTTCTATTGAAAAATCAAATAATAAAAGGAATGACAAGTCGATCTTATCGAAGAAAAGCAATTCACATATGTATATATCATGCATACATGCACACACATCTCAAATCGTTTTTCACTTTGGACAAACGATATCACTGTCGAGAGCAGAAGCCCCCGGTTCTCGTTATATTGGTCTTAGAAGTTAGGGAGTACGTATGGATTCGAATTTCCAGACTCGTTCGCATGGTTAACTTGGCCAAACAGAAATTACCATTTTATTGGGCGAGTTCTAGCGTCCTCTTAAGCGTACTCATGTCCCTTTCTATCCTTCACAGCCTCTCATTCTCGCCTTTACTTGGCTCTTGCACTTCTCTCGACGATCCCTAACGCGTCGATTGGAATACCTAATCATCCTCGCGACCATTTCAAATCAATTGTTCAAGTTCGTACCACTAAACGTTAGCCATTGGCCGATGGAATTGATTCTCTAACCAATTTTCTTTGAATTATTGATTTTATTTTCATTCGTTTACTTCTTTTTTTTTTTTTCTCTTTAATCTCTTTGACTCGATAAATTGAATGTTACCTTTAGCTTAATTATTAGCTAGCAAACCAATATTCTTTCTCTATTTCCACGATTTCGTGACTGCAATTAAGTCGAAAGAAAGTTGAATGATTAAATGCTGGAGTCGTTGAGCGAAATTAATTGAGACTTAATTAAAATCATCCTTTGAAATGCTAATTCGTTAACAAACATACGCCTCTGTCTATATTCTATGAATTTTCGATTTTCTTTCAGTCTGATAAGTAGATTCATCAATTTATTTTAACCTTTCCCCCCTCCCCCTCTCTCTCTTTCTTTTACATACTTTTTCTACACTTAAAGAACAATTAATTTGTCATTAAGACATTTTCATTTGAATCATATTAAAATCATTATCAAAGAAAATTGCTCGAGAAAATTATTTTTATTATTATAAAACTCTTATTAAAATATTTGTTCTAATTAAATAAAACTTTTCAATGCAATTAAATGACTATTTATTTATTTATTTATTTATTTATATTTTTATGCATCATGGTTAACATCTAATTTATGGTTAAAAAGATAGGTTTTGTAATGAAAAATAAAGTGATTAAATATGTACATCAAATTTTTATTTCATCACGAGAAATTATATACAAATAGACGTTCGGTAGCGACGTTGGGACTTCTCTCATTTTTAGGGTTTTGATAAAAACATATATTACCTTCCAACGATTTATTTTATTTAGGAGTTCATTGCGCGTCAAAAGGTTGATTAAAAAGCATCATGTATGTCGGCAGTACTCAACCTTTTCTCACTGGGGATTATTAATTACACAAATAAAATTATTAATTTTTTATTTTATTTTTGTATCTACTCTTCTTCAATGTCCCCGACGCACAACATCGTTTATTTTGCTACACAATCCACTTTTTTTGTCTTACAACTTATTAATACTGTATAATATTATTTATATGAATGTTATTCACCTTTTGTTTTCTCTTGGTTATTCTTTTTTTTTTTGTTTTTTTAAATTGATTGTTGTGTGTCTTGTGTGTCTAGACTAAAATTTTCTAGATAAACTCGCACATTTTGGATTCAACCAATTTATTTGATGATCCTCATTTTCAGCCATGCTCTACATATAAATTTATCATTTTATATATCTATTTTTTTTAATTTTTATTTTTTATTTATACTGGATACTTCTAATTAGCAGCGATTGAATTTTGTTTCAGTTTGTGGCATACACTCTGATCATCAAACTCGCGCATTATCACCAAATAGTCTTTATTTATATTTATTCCTACACTGTCTTTATTAGTTCTTCAAAGACATAAGAAAGTAATTCTTTCAAATTAGTCTTAGACTCCAGTCGTCGCTTTTTATTGCACATTGCAACCTCCAATACAAAGTCTTTGTAACAGCGACGGAAGGAAATGAATCTTGACTCTAATTTGTTCTGATAATTTCCCTGCATTCGACTAGAAAGTCGATTAATCATTTAAAAATCTCGAGGTACGTTAGTCTAGTCTTGTAGTTAATCATTGCAGCTTCATCCTGCCATCTGGAGACTCTTGGTGATACTCTCAACATGTTCCTTAGCTCTCATCCTTAAGGCTTGGATACTAGAAGTCCTTGGATCATGACCTGGAGGACTTGGTGATGGCTGTGAATGTCCCACTGTTGTAATTCCAGGAATTCCTCCATTCAGTGCTCCTAAGGACAGTAAAATCGAACTACAATTACTAAAATTATTGAGCTTCAGGGGTTTATATTGCCAATTAATTTAGTCTTTACCTGGAATCCCATTTCCAACAGAAGCCACATTTGGAGGTGATGGTAGTCGTCTTGGAGACGTTAGGTAACTAGGATAACCGGTGTGAGGTGCTGCTAGGAATCCAGGGAGTGCTGTTAATAATCCTGGTGGTGTTAACCATGGATCGCCTGGAAGACCTAGTGCTGAACTTCCAACATTCCTGGACAAAATTATTATAAACTTAGCTTTTATCTTACTATTTATCTATTATCAATTACTAATTATAATTTGGTATTATTCTAATCAATAATAAGGTAGTTCACTAAAGAATCTTAATTTAGAACAACTTATTCCAAGGTGATATTAATATTGGAGCAATAAATTATTTTAGAGTAACCAATTACTTTTAAAGCAGGTATAAACATTAATTTATCAATTAAAAAAATCTAATTATCGTAAATAGATGATGATTTATTACCAATTAAAAGAAGTATTTTAACAATTTCTGATCAATGGAGACCAATCTTGCTTTGGGGGATTACTTTGAAAACAAAAAGAGGGTTTTTTTTTGTGTATCAAGAGATTTCTTTTTCGCTTGAGTATGGAGATAATTTTGAGGTTGCTTTTATTAAAGAATGTATCTTTAATATCTGAATAGCTACCTTATGCCAGCAGTATGATGATACTCCGTAATTCCGAGCCTAGCAGCTTCCATTTTTTCCTGTCTACGCCACTTGGCTCTTCTGTTCTGAAACCATACCTGGAAAAAAGGTAGTAAATTGATCAATAAACGTTTTAGTAACTTCTTTTATTTCGTTTTATAATTCCAAGAATGATGATTGAAAAAAATGAAAGTAGTCAATTAAATGGTCAGACAGTGAACTATAATCATAGGTAGATTATACACGGTAGCACTTTGAAATGAGGTAATGCATTATATTAATATGTAGAGTCACTAGATCGCGCGGTATCTCCTTTCTATCTTCTAATTGATAGTTTCAACCAGGCTACTGCAGCTCTCTTAGTTCATTGGAGAAGTTTGCTGAGTAATTGCTAGCAGAAACGGTCTATTACGGCTGACATATCGATGAGATTTTTGGTAATGTGCTGTTTTAAAAGTGATAAAATGTTGTTTTAGAAAAATTTTTATCTAACAAATAAGTGGAAAATGTTTATTCCTGTTTAATAAGTATCTAAATAGCTGTTAGCTATAATTACTTTAATAGTATTCAAATAAAACCAATCCACCTCAGGTGTAATAATTCAGATGCAGTTAAAGATGCTAAAAATTCTACGAACATTTTGCATACACGTTTTTTTCTGGAGGGTCAATAAATCTAAATTTCAAACGATTGGCTAGATTTTCATGAATAATACATTTTTATACTTTCCAGCATAATGATGGAAAATTATTCGACTTTTTGATCATCATTAGGATAATTGATTTAATTTATTGTCTATCACATTAAATTGTAATAAATATTTTCATTTATTATCTGGCGTTTATAAAATCCCCTTCGACATCTTGATTGGATGAGAAAGATTTAAATGAATATTTTTCTGATGAATGAATACGAAATGGAGGCGATGGAGAAGCCGATTAGGCAACGTATTGATGAAATTTGCGGTGAAATAAGATTTTCTAAAAGTAATGAAAAGTCGTATGAATATTTGATCGAAAGAATAAGTACGAAAACCAGTAGGATAATGAAGGTAAAGTAAGTGGAGAGTTTTTATTCTTTGTAAGTGTCAGGAATGAGAAATAAAAAAGGAGCCGATGAGTGAGAAAAGCAGCTAAGGGCAAAACGTCTGGGCGGAGCGGGCTGGTCCACCCCTAAACTAGCTCGTAAGAAAGTAGACTAGGGGATCTTGTCGGTCCACCCTTCCTTCGGCATCAGGAGGGTAACAAGCTCGAGGGCGAAATCGAAAGTGAGCGAGAGGGTCTTGTTGGACCTAAGGCTGTGCAGGAGGGGTTGCAAGTCGGCCATGTTGATTTCTTTATTGTAACATGGCTGCTGTTGGCAGGCTGCCGCGACGTCAAACTCGATGCGCGTCCCACTTGGCGCAGTCATTTCCAGAAAGTCAACTTTCAATAAATTTTATGTCGAAAAAGATCAAGATTTTATTGTAATAGTTCTAGAATATAAAGATATATATAAACTCGATTGCCAACTTATATATATTTTTTTATTATATGATGGAGTTTTATGATTTCTTTAGCTATAAAGACATTTGAAAAACGAAATAAAATAATAATCATAGTAATCATGATAATTATTATGCCCTGACGGCGATGAGGAGAAAATATTATTTTGATAATAACTCCAAGTAAATTGAATATACTTTGCTTATCTTCACGAGAGTAAACGAGAAAAAAGAAAATAGACAATGAAGATGAGGAAGTATAAAAGTAACAAAAAAAAAATGCAAAAAAAAAGAAAGACGTTCCTGAAGACGACATTCCCGAGCTCATCAGGATGATATTCTATTTATGACGAGAGGCAATTTTCTTTCAACGCTGCAGCGAATGAGAAAAGACTACAGACAAGATGCCACGCTGAAATGATGGGAAAATAAGTAAATTTTACTTCATCCTCTTATCTCTCTGACGACGATGTGACGGTTAGAAAGTAACTGTTGTGTTCTATATATTTCTTATTCGTAAATATCTTGCTGATGGGGGATAGCCACGCGCGATATGATAGAAAAAGAAATGAGATGATAGAGAGAAGAGAGTCAAGCAGCCGGCGGAGGCTGTCGTTCATCTTACGGAAATATAAAGAACCGGACTAACGCAGTTTAACCTTTTTAAACGGTAAATCTATTAGAGTATATAAGTACTTTCCTTATTTCTCTTCATCGGCAATGATATTGCGACGTAAACTCATTTAGGTGGATTTAACTCTCCTTGAATTTGTACATTGAGAGAAAAGTTTATATTTTATTGCTTACGAGAATGTTCGTTTAATATCTCAAATTATTATTTATTATTAAAGAAAAATTCATTTTATAGCTTTTAGACAATTTTATTCAGCTCATAGTTATAACAATTATGATAAATTAATGAAAAAATTGCTAAAACATTTAATAATAAATTCTTCAGTGTTTTTATATCTTTATTCTTCCATCAAAAGTAAATGATAACAATTTTATGGTTTATTTTTAATCAGTCATTGTGGATAAAAATTAATTTATCAACTGAAAAAATTTTTTTCCAAAGAATAAAAAAACTTTTTATATTTAAATTTAATTTCGAAAAAGATAGAAAAAAAAAATGTTTATCACTTGACAAAAATGTTTGAAGGATCAAAACGAGATGAATTTACATCTGTTTGAGTTTAAAAAGAAAAAAATTGATTGACTAAAAAATAATATTTCCGCTTGAAATATTTTCCAATTTATCTTCAAGATCAGTGAGTAACGTACGTTTAGCATCCACTTGATATCAAACGTACATTAAAGTCATTGAAAAGTAACGACAGAAGGTACTTGAAGATGCATCTCAAGAGGTAGAAGAGAACGGTAATATATTTGATATCGCGCGAAAAATCAGAGTTCATTTTCGAATAATGCTTCATGTATGCCCTCTTCTTTCACGTTGTTTCCGGGACACCGATCACATTATCTTCATAGCTCGTGTGGCCTCATTGCATTTGGATTAGTGACGGTAAAAGGTATTCGTAACGATTGCACGCAGTGTCGAACACATTGTCATCTCTGCGATGTATTAACAGATTTACTCCATTGTCATATAGACACTCGTTGCTTTAATGCTACGTTAAAAGAGTTGTGAGGGCGCGGTTTATAAAATAAATCTCACATCATGTCATTTGTTGGTTTATTATTTTTTTTTTTTCATCCAAATCCCACCCATTTTGTAGCTTATTATACAGCTTGATAGCCATAAATGACAAGGAAAAACCGCAGGAATTCTTAAGAGATAAATAAAAGTGTTAAAAGGAATGTAAACGTGTTTTAGATCTATTTGAGGGTGAATGAAACTCTGTTGTGATCTGGCAAAAGGAGATGGTGATTTTTCATTCGAGAAATATACGATCAAAGTCCATTAAAGTGCTATCGATGTTACCACTTGGGGTAGATTGTAAAATAAGCCTAAGAGACATTCCGTAATTCTAGAGAAAAGGAGGAAAAAAAAAGGTATGAGTAGGTTATACGAGAGTTAGAAAGAGAGATATTATTTGGAGAGGGTTGGAGTCTATTATTCACCGCGCTTTTTATACACCCTATGTCAAACTGTCTACCAAATTCAATCTTCAGCAGTTGTTCTCATTTTTTATTTCAGATTATTTGTCTAAAAGCATCTATTTAAAAAATCATAATTCATATAAGTGGGCCATTCAAATATTAAAAATGCTTTTAAAGATGAAAAAAAGTCAACAATGCATTCATTTTATTCTACATCATTTTTTCTTTTGAATATTTTTGATAAATATTTGATAAAATAATCAACTTGTGATTTAATTAAGACTTTTATTTATAAATATGCTTATTGATGTTTTAAATAATAAAAATATAATCATGAAATAATGATTTTTTTTTCTTCTTTTTTTTTGTGAAAGATAAAGTGTTTTAAGGGAAACAAAAATTCAATTAATCTCAAAAATTGTTTCTTTAATGAATTCATAAAAGTTGTTGTTGGCTAAAATAGATAGTCTTTTGTGATATTGTCATCATCACTTTGATAATTGAATCTGAGAACCCCTGATACAAAACTCCTCCAATAAAGCCACCCTTGTCGTCGCGTGTAATCACCCTTAAACACTCCAACGCCCTGCTTCTAACCCAGTCTTGTCCACGATACAATACTAATGTGATACAAATAACTTCTCAAACATGACGCGATTTTGCGCTTCTACAATAAGAATAAAATGCGGAGTACTGGAAAATAATAAAGCTCTCGAGTGTGCCGTCTTTGTTAGGGTGGATCTTTTACCAATGTTTACCGACGGGTGTCTCTTTTACATTGTTTATTTTATACGGACAAAAAATCGTCGGGTTGTCTGTGATACATGATGAAGTCAATGTTCTGCTTCAATACCTTTTCTTAATAAACAAAACAAAAATTCATTCCAACTACTTGGAGGTCTTTGATAATTTTTTTTTTTTAGTTATAATCTTTAATATTATTCTGTTGTTTAAATCCGCCAATTAATTTTTTTAAGTAATTTTTTTTTATTATTTATTTATTCGAATAATTGAATAACATAACGAAAAGAGTAATTAAATTATTCAAATAGTTTTAATAATATTAATTTAATTATGTAGTAATATTGCTCCAAAAAATTGTAAAAGTTATTAAAGCTAAAAAAAAAAGGTTGCAGTATAATAAATAACCTCGACAATTATTGTGATATCATGTTTTATAAATAAAAAAGGTAATTGGATGCATTTTATTGAATATTTCACTAGTATTCATTCGTTATAAAAGTTATCATAAAATTCTAATATTACAGAATTTATATATTTTACTATTTCCTTATTTTTAAATAAATATAATCATATTTTTTTAATAAAAAAAAAAGAGCTACCATAAATTGCAATCCTTTTTTCCAATTAAAAGAATATTTGAAATATTTTTGTTAAATATTTAATAAATTCTTGATGAATAAAAAATGATTTTTAAAATATAGTTTTCAATATTAAATTCATGATTGATATTCAGAAAAGGCTGAAGCTTTTCAATTTATTATTACATAACTGATTCACTGATAATTGAAAATTATAAAGACCTGATTTCCG